GGTGTCGCCGCTCCACGGCCTCTTTGCCTGAGCCCCACCAGCCAGAGCTCAGCCTGCAGCTCCCACTGCAGCTGCACCCCGAGCTACCTCCGTGACCATGTTCCTTAACAGTAGCAGCCAGTCTGACTGCACAGATGTAGCTATAATAAGTGCTGTACAACACAACTAAATAAATATGCAGGATGTACTATGTACTGCAAAGTTCAACTGGCTTAGGAATAATATTTTCTTAAGGGATGTTATCTTTTGGATTTCACAGAATCATGGAATGGTCCACCACTCAGTCTGTCCAGGTCCTTCTAGATGGTATCCTTTCCATCCAGGTGTGTTGACTGAACAACACAGCTTGGTGTTGTCAGTGAACTTGCAGAGGGCACAGTTGATTCCACTGTCCATGTCACCAAAAAGGATGTTGAACAGCTACCAGTCCTTATCCTTACAGAACCCTGCTCATTATTGGTCTGCACTTGGACATCAAGCTGTTGACCACAAGTCTTTGAATGTGGCCATCCAGCTAGAGGTCCACCCATCAAATCCATGTCTCCAGTTGAGACACAAGGAAGTTTTGTGGTCAGACAAGGAAGTGTTGTGCAAAGTCATGCCTTGCACAAGTCCTGATAGATGACTTTAGTTGCTCTCTTCTTAACCCCCATTGCTGTAACTCTGTTGTAGCAGGCCATTAAATCTGTGAGGCATGATTTGCCTTCAGTGAAGCCATCTACTTCATAATCTTACTGGGAACCAAGGTGGGACTTCCGGACTTCAAGTTCCCTAGGTCTTCTTTATTTGCCTTTTTACAAATATAGGCTATATTTCCTCTTTTCAAGTGAAGCTTTAGCTTTCACAGTTTCATGAACTTGTGCTGCTCAGAAAACCTCTTTTCCTCCCAGGCTACTTGTTGTTACGTCCACCCTCTGTAGCCTTTCTTTTAGTGTTTGAGTCCCTCCAGGAGTTCCTTGTTCATCTAAGGCCATCCTGACATTTTTGCCTGACTTCCTCTTCATTGAGATAATCACTACTGAGCTTGGAGAAGGTGATCCTTGAATACCAACCAGCTTTGTTGGTCCCTCTTCCCTCCAGGGTTTTATCCCATGGTACTTCTACGAGGCAGATCCCTGAGGAGACCAAAGTCTGCTGTCCTGAAGTTTATGGTAATGAGCTTTCTATGCACTTTCCTTGCTGCCCTGAGGATCTCAAACTTCATTTTGTGGTCCTTGCGTCTGCCCTCGAGTTTCACATTCCCCACCAGCCCCTCCTAGTTGGGAGAAAAAGGTCCAGCATAGTACCTCTTCTCCTTGCCTCCTCTTATCACTTGAAGAAGGAAGTTATCATCAGTGCATTCCAGGAAGCTTCTGGATTGTTTATGTGCTGCTGTGTTGACAGATATTAGGGTGGTTGAAATTCCCCATGAGGAGCAAGGTTTGTGTATGTGAGGCTGCTCCTTTCTGTTTGTAAGGGGCCTCGTCTTTTCTGTCTTCCTGGTCAGACAATCTAATCTGTAGCAGCCCCCACTATAAAGTCACCTCTCCCTTGCCTGCCTTTAATGCTGACCCATTAAGTCTCTCTCAGCTTCATCCACTCACAGGTAAAGCTGTATGATCTCCAGCTGGTCATTGACATAGAGGGCAACACCACTCCTTGTCTACCCTTCCAGTCTTTCCTGAAGAGCCTGTATCCTTCCATTCCAACTCTCCACTCTTTGGAGCCATCCCACTATGTGTCCATGACATACCAATGAGGTCATAGGCATGCCTACGTCACTAACTCTTCTTCTTTGCTATTGCATAGAGACTTTGGATTTGAGACCCTAATGAAGCTGACTTACTGGCTGGAGTAGCTGGAAATCCTTTGTGTTATTCTGGTGCTTTTCTGCTGACCTGTGATCTCTCTTCAGGCTCTGGGCATCTCTTGCTGGCACTGGCACCAAATTGATAGGAGTGGGATGGACTGAGGTTTCCTTCCCCCTGGCATCTTTAGTTTAAAGCCCTTCTCACCTTGGCAAAGTGAGACATTTAGTTGAAAGCCCTTCAGCATGGCAAGCCTGTGGCAGAAGATGCTCTTCCCCTTTTCTGACAGATGGACCCCATCAGCCCTCAGTAGACCCAGTTTCTGAAAGCAAGTCCCTTGGTCAAACCAGCCAAACCCTTGGCTGGAACACAGTCCCAGAAGCATTTGTTGATTCACTAGATTTGGCTGGCCTTTTCAAACACCCTTTGACTCTGATCATTGATGAGAAGACTGCCTGCAGAATCCTGAAGATTTTTAACTTGGGAAAAATCTGAAAGTGGGTATTTATTATGTTTGCTTTTTGGTGTTGTGATACAAGTGTCATGTATGTTTTTTGATTTACCTTTATTGTTCTATTTTTGTAACCAAATTATTCTTGTCAACATGCTTTCAGATTTGTGCATATCTGAAAGATGCTGCTTCTTAGGAAGATCTTCTTTCACAAGATATGCAGATAAGCTTTGAAACATGACAGTACCTCTTAACACTTGCTCAGCAGCATAAGACACTAGTTAAGGCTACTTTTTCCCCTTTAGTGTTCCAACTTGAATAATTGAAAATACAAACATAACACCTTAATTATTACAGTACATTGTTAGTGAAGAATTGTGGCAGAAGGAATATTTTTTATACTTTGTGCTTCACACGTTAGTGCCTGGTGAAAAAGTACAGTTGCATCTCAGTTCTTTATTCCCTAAAGCCTATGATAGCAGATCCCTTGATACCTGTGAAAAGAGCAAAATTTGGGAAAGAATGATATTATTCTACAGAGTCTTACAGTGATGTTAATGGAAAGGAACCTCCAAAGGCCTTAGTCCTACCTTTCAGTCAGATTATAGAAAATTTTAAGCAGTTACTCTAAGAATTGTCCATGTAAATTTAAAAAAAAAAAAAAAAGTGGAACGAATTCACTGTTCTTTGGCAGTCCTCACTGTGAATTTGCTTCCTTACTATGTAACTAGGCAGACATACTGCATTCGATGTCATTGCCTTTTTCCCTGTTAAATGTGTAACTGTGAAGAGGATTCTGGCTTCATCTTCTCTCTGCTGTGGCCTTAAGTTGTTAAAGATATGTCAAAGAAATTATAAACCTATGTTCTTAATTTCTGTTTGTAAAGTATCTGGTAATGTGCACAATGTAAATTGGAATTTGGGCACGTAGTGTGATTCTTTGGGACTGTCTTGTGCAGGGCCAGGGGTTGGACTGTATTTTCCTTGTGGGTCCCTTCCGCTTCTTAATATTTTATGATTCTATGACTGTATGGTTATGCCTCTGTATATGTCATGTCCTTGCATCAACTCTGAGTTACCTCCTAGTCCATTTTTTTTGATGGACACTTTGTTCAACATGTAATAAGGCCTTTTTAACAACCCAGGAGCAGCTAAGTGCCTTTTCAAATGATCCTTGATTTGTTGTATAACAGTAGAACTTCTGCTTCTTTGAAATTCTGCAGAACTCTTAAAACATCAGAATCAATTTCTGAAACTTTGACTCGTAATTTGACTCAGTTGCCTTGTCTGCTGGTCCTGTAAGTTGCACTGGTTTTGTGTACTGATAAACTGAGGTCCTTTTTATTCAGAAGATATTTCACATATCTGTGGAGACTTGCCTATCTGTGACATTTTCTGATTATTTGTATGCCAAGAAAACTTAGTCTTTGTGGGTAGTACTGTCAGTGAAGTCTGTCTGATCAATTATCTTGCCCTTCTCTGATTCATGACAGTGGGAAAGTGGTAAGTTGGGGTTTTTTATAAGAGATATAGAGCTACTACTTGCCACTTTGTGCTGTTAGCTTATACTTCTGTTTTTCAAATAGGAGGTCAGCTGCCTATAACAAGCATTGTTTTGCCTTAACCTTTGGTGGCGCTGATATGTTGTTAGCTGGAGCATAGCTACCAGACTTAGTCTTGTTACTGTTGTGCTGAAATGATACTAGTCAGATTGCACAGAATTTTTTCTTTAAATTAACTTTATCTTCTGCCTTCTGAAGTTTGGTTGTTATATACAAGATTGTTTGCCTGCTTTTTTCAAAGCAAATCCTAACAGTTAGAGTATAAAATTTCTGAAGTATTTAACTTCAGAGTTTTATTGATGGGGGATGTGAATAGGAACAAAATTGGACCAAAGTTTTTGTGCCTTCAGTAGTTTTATATGTAGGGTTTTTCATATCTCTAGGTGTCTTAAGTATAATAAACACATTTTTCCCCTCTGGAAAATGTATATTTATATTGTGAAAAATTAATATTGTCTACTGACTATACAAGAAGTGAACTACAGCTGTTTCAATACAGATTTAGTTATTCTACTGTCTTTCCCATTACAGTTTTTTCTTTTGGACTGCAATATGTAGGAATCCAAGCATAACTCGTGTTATTTCCAACTTCACATAATGACATTGTGCTTGGCGCAGTCCCAAAGAAATTAAATGCTTACATAATTGAAGGCCCTTGATAAATGAAGAAAGCTTTTACTTTAGCAGGTTAATGTCATCACTGTAAGCAGATTTTCAGTTCTTGGGAACTCTGCTTTATTTATGAATGGGAAGCTACCACACATAAATGTGATTTGAAGCACTTTTCAGTTCTTCTTGAATATGTCACCCACTTTGTGCAGAAGTTTACCATAGAACTGCAGCAGCACAAAAGTTGCTAACCAAGCAGATTTTTGCATCAGAATGTCACTTCACTCTCTGACCAAAGACTGTTCTGGTTTTACTGAGATGTATGAAAACCTGTTTTCTCTCACACTCTTTTCTGATGGGAAGACGCAATGGAAAGTGGCCTCTATTTGAGACTATTACTGGTGATAGAAACAGTGGGAAATGATATAGTAATGTGAACCAAATGGTGTGAGAGAAGGCAAAAAGTTAATATGTTGCTTTTAGTACTGTACTCAACACAGTAAACATCTCTAAAAATTGCTGTCATTCCCTCATTTCACGTGATCTGTTCATAAAAGTTTCCTTTCA